AAGGAGACGGAGTCGGTGCCACCCCGTGAGCCTGGAGGTATGAGCCCTGTGATGCTGGTGGCACGGAGGATGGTGCTGACAGAAGCCACAGCTGTCAACTACTGAGCCCTTTCTGTATGTCACTGTGCCACTAAGCACACTCTCACTTAGACTCCCAACAGCCACACCCACAAGGCAGGCAGACCCTGCTACCACACCCCCTCTTGCAGAGAAGACTGAGCCTCCGGAGGTGGGGTCCTGGTGTCCATGGCCACTCAGCTGGCCAGGGCGCAGCTAGGACTTGACCCTCACGCTTTGCAACCACGCTCCTTCCTAGCTGCCACGGTGATGTAAATGTCCGGCTCAGAAGGCGAGTAAACTTAAATGTTCTCCAGAAAGACAGCCACTGGCCACAGGCTAAGGCCGACTCCAGAGCCACCAGGCCAGAAACCAACAAGTGCTTGGAGGCTCCACCAAGGTACAGTCCCCATGCAGGGCGCTGGGCCGTGCAGGCATGCCACTGACTTGCAGAGAGCACTGAGCTGCTTTCCCTGTCGCAAGTCACCAGATCCCAGCTGCAGGCCCCACCTCTCGCCTCTAATGAGCCGTCCCAGTCGCCTCCTTCCAGGAGAAGGATGGGTGGGTGGCCTGTCCTGCAGTGTGTTTGGGAAGGGGCAGAGAAGGGTGGCGGGGGCATGAAAGGAAGAAAACTTGGAGGAAGGAGACAGGAGCACACCGTCCTCCCACTGCCCCCCGCCGCGCTGGGGATTAGGGATTTGGGATTTGGCCCCGTGTGGGATGCTGGCGGGCTGCCTCTGGGAGCCAAAGCCAGAGCCAGGAGTGCTCGCAGCCGTCCCATCTCCTCATCGGAATCCCAAACAAACACTGTTGCCTGGAAACACTGCCTCGCCCCAGCATCCCTGGGCTGAATCATGGGGCCAGGGCCCCGAGATGCTCTCTGGCCGCCATCGCCTGTTCAACTCTTTCATTTCTCAAATGGAAAGACTGAGGCCCAGGGAGGGGAGAAGGGAAGGGTCTTGCTCAAGGTCAGCGGGCAATCTGGGGTGAAGCTGGGACGGGACCCCAGGTCTTCTGCCACCTGACCTCACACCCAGCCCAGGCCCATGTCTTGTGTCTCCGAGGCTTCGACATAGTCCTGGGCACGGAATATTGCTCAGTCAATGCTGCTGACTTCAATTTTGAATTTACAACTTGAATGTCCTTTTCAAAAACAAGTCCCCCAGGAAAGAAGCACTCAGTGACCATTCCCACCCTTGAACTTCACTGTTGGCTTTCGGGATCATCCCCCAAGGACCTGACCCAGGAGATGAAGAGGAGCCTTGTGCGAAGCTGCTTCAACAGTCTCATTTATGACCAAGAGAGGTGGCAACGTGGCTGTGCCCCACACACAGCGATGGCCTAGCGATGATGGGAGCCGAGCGCCCTGGAATGTTACTTTGCCCTTTAAAAGGAAAAGCAGGCCGGGCGCGGTGGCTCACACCTGTAATCCCAGCACTTTGGGAGGCTGAGGCGGGTGGATCACGAGGTCAGGAGATCGAGACCATCCTGGCCAACATGGTGAAACCCATCTCTACTAAAAATACAAAAAATTAGCCAGGCGTGGTGGTGTGTGCCTGAAGTCCCAGCTGCTGGGGAGGCTGAGGCAGGAGAATGGCTGGAACCCGGGAGGCGGAGATTGCAGTGAGCCAAGATTATGCCATTGCACTCCAGCCTGGCAACAGAGTGAGACTCCATCTCAAAAAAAAATAAAAATAAAAAGGAAAAGCAAGTGACGTGGGCCAGGAGGAATTGAGAAAATGGGTAAAAGAGGAAAGGAATCCATGATGAGGTCAGAAGGTAAGATGCATGAGACTTACTTCTAGGACATCCCCTACCAGGACCAGAGCCACTCTGAAGGGATGGGGATGTGGCTGGGGGGCTCAGAACTTCATGGCTTCTCAGGCTTCTAGGATGCTTCCTCTGTTAGAACTCGCTGACTCAGAGAGCCGAAGATACCTCAGAGTTCAGAGAGCAGTGGCCCGCCTGACACGTGTGCCCCTGTGCGTGTGTCTGTGCGTGTCTGCATGTCTGTGTGTGTGTTGGGGCCCAGCCCCAGGAGCTGCAGGGTCAGGTTCCACGTCACACCCCATGTGTTTCTGTTTCCTCCTCAGTGCCCTGGGCACCGTGCCATCCACCCCACCCACCTCCAGGGCACTGGCAGGAGAGGGCCACCCCTGGCCAAGGGGGAATGGACCCCTCCATTCCCCCTCCTCGGAGGCTCCTCAGCACATCTGGGCTCTCAGCCCCGACAACACCACAGAATTCCCCACGGACAGGAGAAAGTGCTGCCGTGGAGCCCTGTCCTTGGGGCAACTCAGCAAGAAGAGGAGCAAGGGAGCAGGGAGGGCTTTGGAGGGCAGCTGGCCCCTCTCATCTACAACTTGTCAGCCGCATCATCCACGTAAGTTCTCCAGCTTCCAGAACGGCAGCTTTGAGGCTGAGCCTGGGGGCATCCTTGGAGAAGGAAGGATGAGGAGGACAAGGGGGAGAGGAAGAGAAGGAACGGGAAAGGGAGGAGGAGGAGGGAAAGGGAAGAGGGAGATGGGGAGGGGAAGAGGAAGAGGATGTAAGGAAGAGGAGGAAGGGGAGGGGAGGGGGAGGGGGAAGCAGACAGACAGAAAGTCTCGCTGTGTGTTTTCCACTTAACTTAAAAAGTTAAGTCTCTGTGACATTCTTGTCGAGTCACTGAGGGACGGGGGGTGTGATGTGTCTGCAAGAGGCTGAGTGTGGTTGTGTGTGTGTGTCTAGAATGGGCAGAAAGCAGATTCGTGGCTGTTGGGGCTGTAGTGGGAACAGGGCAGGAATGGGCGTTTGGTGGCTGCCACTGAGTATGAAGTTTGTTTTGGAAAGTGATGAACATGTTCTAAAATTGGTTCTGGTAATGGTTGCACAAGTCCGAATATACGAAAAACACTGAACGGTAAACTCTAAATAAGCAAATGATACAGTACGTGAATTATATGTCAATAACGTTTTTCTTTTGGAGATGGAGTCTTGCTCTTGTCACCCAGGCTGGAGTGCAATGGCACGATCTCAGGTCATTGTAACCTCCACCTCCCAGGTTCAAGCAATTCCCTGCCTCAGCCTCCTAAGTAGCTGGGATTACAGGTGCCTGCCACCATGCCCAGCTAATTTTTGTATTTTTAGGAAAGACAGGGTTTCACCATCTTGGCCAGGCTGGTCTTGAACTCCTGATATCGTAATCTGCCCACCTCGGCCTCCCAAAGTGCTGGGATTACAGGCGTGAGCCACCGCACCCAGCCTTAAAGCTTTTACATTTAAAAAGTGGGTGAGAATTGAGGTAACAGGTGTGGTAGGACAGGATAAATTTGTAAAAGCTGGAGATGATGTCTCAGTTTGCGGACAGCAACAGCAGGGAAATAACATGAAAGGGAGCAATTTTTCAGCACATCTGACTTCCTAAGCACTGCACATCCAACATTAACCCACAAGGGCGCTATTTAAATAACATCCACCTTGCAGACGGAGGGACAGGCTAAGAGGAGCCAGTGGCCACCCGGGGTCACACAACTAAGAAGACAGCAGGCAGATCGATCATCAGTGCTGGGTCGGGCGTGGTGGCTCACGCCTGTAATCCAAGCACTTTGGAGGCCAAGGCGGGCGGATCACCTGAAGTCGGTAGTTCAAGACCAGCCTGACCAACATGGTGAAACCCCGTCTTTATAAAAAAAATGAAATAAAATTAAAAAGATCATCAGCACTGGCTCTGGGGAGCTCCAGGGCCTGAGTACTTAACCCCACCCCACCCCCAGCATATTTTCCTCCTCCTTTAGATAAACTTCCAAATTTCCCAAATTTGGGGAGAAAACAGTGTAAGCCAGCACGAAGTGAAGAGGGCAAGGGAGAGGGAACACACAACACCCTGGGATTGCAAAAGCGGCTTTCTCAAATTTACAGCTCCCGGCTGACCCATTAACGCACCACAGCGAGGAGGGGTGAACAAATGAGAATGCGGTTCCGTTTCAGTAACAAGCCATAAATCAACATGCATCCTCTGGCCGAGGGCCACCACCCAGCCAAGGAGCGAGGACCAGGCTTTCTTGGGGAGCTGCGGGCTCCCGAAGCCCCCACCACACCCCTACCCCACAACATAGAGCTGCAGTGATGCCAACAGGGCATGGGGGGCCCTGGAGATGCTGTCTAGGGCCGGCTCCCTGGGACCCCGCCACCTTCAGGGGTGCCCCACTGCAAGGATTGGCAGGACTCACCACACATGTTCTGAGAAACACTGACATGTGGATTGGGGGGATGCGTTACAGAGCAGGCTGCTCTGAGACCTTCTGGTTCTGGAACATCTCAAAGACCCTGCCAGGGCTGATGTCACTGGCCTGAGCCACAGAACCCCCCAGCCAGGGGCAAGGGCCCTAGCATCCCCCGCATCCCCTCCTGGGGGGTACAGCGTAGCTTTGAAGGACACCCAAGCCAGCCTCCTCCCTGTCCGCCCACTCCCAGGATCGGACCGGGAGCAGCTGAGTCAGACAGCTCAGCCGCCAGACACCTGGTCCTGCAGAGCAGGCCTCGGGGTGGAGTGTGTCATGGCGGGGATGTGGTCCCAGCCCTGGCTTTGCTCTTGCCTAGCCGGGTGATGGCGAGCAGCTCAGTCCCTGGCCGAGCGTCAGTGTCCTATCAGATATCAAGGGTGGCCGTGCAGATTAAACGGGATCCCGCAGGCAACGCCCAGCGGCTGGCGCACAAGGTGTCCAGTGGGCATGATTTCAGACAGGAAGTCTCACCCTAGGCTTCCAGGCACCCTCTAGAGGCTCCTTCCAGGCTTCTGGGGGCCCATGGATAGCAGCCCCGTGTGCGGAAGCCCAGGAGCATCCTAAGGGAGAGTCTGCAGGGTCCAAGACCCCTGCCGGGTCACTGGTCACCTTGAGGCAGGTTTCCCTCCAGCCCTAAGTTCTGTCCCTTCCTGACTTGAGGCCATGGCCTGGGGTTACCTGTTGGTGGTGTGTGGCAGAGGGTGGGAGTCCTTCATCCAGGTGACCAGGGGGGGTGGGGAGCCCTGGGCCTCGCAGTCCAGGGTCACCTCTTCACCAGCTTTCGCCATGACTCTCAGAGGCACATCTGCATCATGTGACCCATTCATACGAAGCCTGGGCTTGGCTGTGGGGAGAGGAAGCAGGGCCTGTCAGCGGGCAGAGGGGAAAGGGGTCCATGGGTGCCCTGGGCCACGTGGCGGCTCTACCGGGAAGCAGAGCCAGTGCTGCGACCTTGACGCTCAGGAGGTCCAGAGGTGGGTGTGGCTGTCAGAAGAGGGAGAGTGCAGGTTGCCGGTGAGACCCAGGTCCCAGGGTTTTCGCTCAGTTCTCCCCACCCACCTCCCTGCCACCATCTTGCTCTGAGGACCCTGACCCGGTCCCTCCTGCCCCAGGTCTGTGTCTCCCCTGGCTTCTCTTCATCCTGCCGTCCCTTCCCCAGGGACATTCTGGCGGACTCTGAACTCCTCCCCGCTCTCTACCTTCTCCTCTTGCTCGTTCATTTATTCCTACGATATCAGCCACCAAAGAATGCACAGACCCTCCCTCCGGACCTCCTGGTCCTGAGGGACCTCCCCGGTCAGGGATTTATGGCAATCTGGGCATGTCACCTCTTTCTCATATTAAGCTGAAGACCCCTTGACGGCAGAGACTGCGGTACCCTTCCCTCCTCCTCCCTGCCCTCCTCCGTCTTTCTAGCTCATACAAGGAAGGCACTTGCTACAAGAGCAGCAACAATGAAACAAGCCAGCCAGCTGGGGACATCAAAACCCACCTAGCCCTCCCGTGTTTCCCCATACGTTTGGAGTTCAGAGAGGAAATGCTCCCCCATTAAGAAATATTTGTAATATAAACATACTGACTGTGAGGGTCTATGAGAGAAAAAACCTGGCTTGTACATGTGCTCACTCCTCCCAGACGAGGGCCAGCCCTGCCCCATCCTCCCAGCCTTCAGGGTCCTTGGGCAACACTGGTACCAAAAAGCTCCCTATGGGATAAAGTATTGCACCACAGCTGTGATGGGTGCCAGGAAGGGGACGCTTCATGGTTTACAGCAAAGTGACTTGACCAGCCTAGGGGATCAGGGAGAGCTGAGAGCTAACAGATGGGAGCCGTCAGCTGGGCCCAGAGGTGAGGGAACGTCATTCCAAGCAGAAGGAACTACATGTGCACAGGCAGGATGGACCATTCCAGAAACAGAAAGGAGGCCAGAGGGTCTGGGGCAGAGAGAGGCGGGTGAGGGGGCTGCTGGGGGCGTGGGTCCCGTGCAGAGCCACAGGACACTGCAGGACTTGCTGATGTGACAGCTTCCCTGTCAGGCTCCACAGGGCTGAGCTGGGACTCTGTCTCCAAATCCACTGAGCCCCTCTCCCAGGCAGGGCTGCCATCACTCACTGTTGACAGAAAGCCGCATCTCCTGACTGGAGAAGCCCACGGTGTTTGTGGCCGTGCAGACATAGGCCCCTGCATCCTGGGCGGACGGCTGGGCGATGAGCAGGGTGCCCTCCTTACTCACATTGTAGAGGGGACCTCCGGAGGTCAGGGCATTGGTTTCCTAGGGCAGAGGCACAGGTGACGTCAGCAGAGCCCACAGCTCCACCCAGTGACACACTGGGCCCACCTCTCTGGTTACCCTCTCAGTAACAAGCACTGCCTACCTTGGTCCAGGTGATGGTGGGGGCAGGAACTCCTGAAGCGACGCAGGGGAGAGAGGCAGGAACCCCTTCATTGGTGATGTGGTGGGTGGCAGTGGGATGGATTCTAGGTGGCACTGTTATGAACAAACTAGTGTCAAAGCCAAGGTTCACAGCAGCCTCATTCACAGCGGCCAAAAGCGAAGCAACCCAAATGTCCATCAGCGATGCATGGACACACAACATGTGGTGTGTGTGCACAAGGGAAGACTATTCAGCCTTAAAAAGAAAGGAAATTAACTCCAACGGTATGACATTCTGGAAAAGGCAAAGCAGCCAGAGGCAGTGCCTCACGCCTGTAATCCAGCACTTTGGGAAGCTAAGGCAGGAGGATCACTTGAGGTCAGGAGTTCAAGACCAGCCTGGCCAACATGGTGAAACTCCGTCTCTACTAAAAATACAAAAATTCCAGCTGTGGTGGCAGGCACCTGTAATTCCAACTACTCAGGAGACTGAAGCATGAGAATTGCTTGAACCTGGAAGGCAGAGGTCGCAGTGAGCCAAGATCGCACCACTGCACTCCAGCCTGGGAGGCAGAGTGAGACTCTGTCTCCAAAAAAAAAAAAAAAGAAGAAGAAAGAAAAGAAAAACTATGGAGACAACAATAAGATCAGCGGTTGCCAGGGTTGGGGGAGGGAGGAATGAAGAGGCAGAGCCCTGAGGACTGTTAGGGCAGTGAAGCTTCTCTGGGTGATACTGCAGTGGCAGATCCATGTCACTAAGCATTTATCCAAATCCACAAAATAAACAACACCAAGGGCCGGGTGTGGTGGCTCATGCCTGTAATCCCAGCACTTTGGGAGGCCGAGATGGGTGGATCACCTGAGGTCAGGAGTTTGAGACCAGCCTGGCTGACATGGTGAAACTCCATCTCTATTAAAAATATAAAAATTAGCTGGGCCTGGTGGTGGGCACCTGTAGTCCCAGCTACTCGGGAGGCTGAGGAAAGAGAATTGCTTGAGCCCAGGAGGTGGAAGTTGCAGTGAGCTGAGATCGCGCCACTGGACTCCAGTGTGGGCCACAGAGCAAGACTGTTTCAAAATAATAAAAATAAAAATAAAAAACACCAAGAGGGAATCCCAGCGTAAATTCTGGGATTTGGAGTGATGACGCCGTGTCTTCAATGGTAACAACGGGGCCACTGTCGGGTAGTTGACAGTGAGGAAGGCTATGCACAATGGGGCCGGGGTATGTGGGAAATCTTTGTACCTTCTGCTCAATTTTTCTATAAACTTAAACTGCTCTTAAAAGTCCAGTCTATTTTTTTTTAAAAGGAGTAAAATTCTGACACATGCTACACCATGGCTGAACCTTAAAAACCTGCTAAGTGAAATCAGCCAGACATAGGAGGACAAATACTGCACGATTCCACTGATATGAAGTCCCTAGAATGGGCCAGGTCATAGAGATCAGAGGTAGAAGGGCGGCTCCCGGGGGCTGAGGAGAGAGGGGAATGGGGAGTTAATGTCTAATGGGGACGGAGTTTCAGTTCAGGATGGCGAGAAAGTTCTGGAGATGGATACTGGGGATAGTCACACGACAGTGTGAATGTAGTAACACCATTGCACACCTAAACATCATCAAAACAATACATTTTATTTTATGTATATTTGACAATTTTAAAAGCTATCAGGCCGGGCGTGATAGCTCACACCCTGTAATCCCAGCACTTTGGGAGGCTGAGGCAGGCAGATCACCTGAGGTCAGGAGTTTGAGGCCATCCTGGCCAACATGGTGAAACTCGTCTCTACTAAAAACTCCCCACTATAAAATGGGGAATGAGCATTCTTCCCACTAAGCCCTTGGGGGGTTCATGAAACAAATGAGAATAAAGAAGATATAAACATACTCGGTAAATCACAAAATATAACCACATTTAGTTTTAAACTTCTTGTCTTACATTAAAAAGCACAGTGGTTCCCCGGTTGGGTGAACAAAAGAACCCAGCGCTGTGGGCAGGAGAGCAGTTGGGCAAAACACTAAAATTCCAAAAATGTACAATCTCTGTGATGCAAAACTGAATCCACATTAATGGATTTATCCTAAGGAAAGACTTGGTCACTTAGGTACGAGGTCACCTGCAACGTGTAAGCACGAGGCTGTTTGTGCCCAGGGTCGGGGGACTCAGGAGGGTACAGGTGATCAGATAATTAGATAATCAGGGGACACCATTGTCCCCTTATTAAATTGATGCCTCTGAATCTTAATTGACAGAAAACAGAACAACCATAACATACTGACGAGGGGACACATAGGTGGCAAGACAATGACAGCACGTGACTCGATCTGGTTTTTAAATAAGTGTGTGTGGAGACAGTATGAAAAGATACATGTCAAAATGTAAAATCTGGTTATTCTTAGCTACTGGTATTATGAGAGTATTTTTTTTTTTTTTTAAAGATGGGGTTTCACCATGTTGGCCAGGCTGGTCTTGAACTCCCGACCTCAGGTGATCTGCCCGCCTTGACCTCCCAAAGTGCTGAGATTACAGGCATGAGCCACCACGCCCAGCCTGAGAGTATTTTTTAACTTGTAAAATCCCTAATTTTCCCACAGAGAGTGTGTATCACTTGTGCAGTGTGTAAAGCAAAGGCATTCGAGATCAAGTTACCTCTGCACATTCCCGACCCCATCATGTTCCCTGCCCCACGACCCCCACCTCGGGGGTCCCAGGACTCACCCTGGACCACCAGCTCGATGTCCCGACGCTGAGAGCCAGCGGTGTTGGTGGCCACACAGCTGTACCTCCCCGCGTGCTCCTGCAATGCCCGACCAAGGTGCAGGCTGCCATCTGCTCGGACAGAATGCCGGCTGCCAGCTGGGAGCTGGTGGGGGTGAGGAAGAGCCAGCTTAGCCTCGGGCCTCATTCAGAGGCAGTAAGAGAGAACCCTCAGGAAACTATGCCGCCCACCAGGCCGGCAGGGAGCAGGCAGGACTGAGAGGCCAGGGGCTCAGAGAAGGCTGAGGAGCTCTGTGACTCCCCAGCCTAGGTGCCCAATGAAGCCCCCAACAGACCCTGCAGGGTGGGTAGGTCTGACCCCTGCACACCCTGATCCCACCTCTCCCTTGGCCACCTGGACCAGGGTGAGCCTGACCCAAGCTGGGCCCATGAGAGTCTCTCCCGGGAATGCAGAGCTGGGAAGGCACCTCTTTGCAGCCTGCAGGGCACAGGGACTCAGTGTGTCTGAGACCAGGCAGAAGAATTAAGGAAAGGGAAGAGGTAATGAAAGAGTTGATAGGAGAGGCCAAACAGAGGAACACCAAGAAAATCACATGGACATGAACTGATGGATCAGGCAACCCCCGTGCGTTCAGCCGTGCGCTGGTATCTGGGGCAGATATTAAACTGCACGGGGCACTCCCTGCTCTGGAACCATAAGAACTGGGGAGACCACTGCATTGAGACTGGGCCTCCACAGAATCCCTGATCCCTGGTCCACAGCTCTCCTGGTGCACAGGATTCCCCCGCAGAGCTCCCAGGGACCCAGCAGCTATGACCCATGTGACAGCCAGCAGGACTCCAGAGGGCAACAAGCGGCATCAGTGCATTATCAGAGAAGGTTCCAAAATGCCGCCAAAAGAAGGAAGAGGACACTTCCAGGAGGGGGAGCAGCCATGCAGAGACCAAGGCGTGGCTGTGACAGTCCCCTCCTTCCCCAGGTGCCACCGCCCACTGCACCCAGAGGAGCCCAGCACTCACAGGCTGGCCGGCCTTGAGCCAATGCCTTTCTGGGAGGGGCCGCCCAGCCAGGATGATGCAGGGCAGGGACACCGGCTGCCCCTCCAGGACACGGACGGTGGGGGCGCTGCCAGCGATCTGTGGGGGGACTGTGGGGAGAGGAGCTGGTGTCAGCCACAAGTGCCCTGGGTGGTCGTCTGGGGAACAGAGGCGCTTGCTCCCTTCTCCCTCCCCAGGGAACTGGGAGATGCATCAGAATTGGGGACCCTGAAGAGTCACAGGATCCTCAGAACACTGCCCAGGACACAGGGGGACAGGTGCTGTTCTTGGGGAGTTTGGCTGTGGACTCATTTGTTCCAACAAATGGGCCAGGAGAGGCTCCCTGGAGGTACCCATGGCCTTGCTGTGCCCCTGGGGAGTGCCTACCTCCCACCTCCCACCTCCCATCTCCCATCTCCCACCTCCCACGGCTCTCAGATCCACCAGCGAACCGTGACCAGTGACGAAGAGCCGGGCCTCCGCCTGGACCTTCCCAAAGACATTTCGAGCTTCACAGACATACAGGGCCTGGTCTTCTGGGGCCACACCTGAGGGGCATGAGAGACGAGTGTGACTGCCAGGGCACACCACAGCCACAGACCCCACAGGCTCCAGCTTCCCAGTGCACAGAGAGCCCTCGGCATGGCCTGGGCTTACGAGCTTCAGGCGGGAAGTCTGGGATGGCAGAGAGGGAAGGGGTGAGGGACACAGCTGGACTCTGGAAGGGTGAGAAAGCCTCAGTCTGCTCATCTATGGAATGAGGGTAATTGGCCCATACCTTGCAGTGTGATGGGGACGGGTCGACAACGTACCCACCTCGGGCCTGGCGTGTGGTAAAGTGGGCGGTGGGTAGCACAGTGGTAATTACGGTAATCATCGTAGCTTACACGTGTGTGACAGTTAGCATGTGGCAAGAACTGTGCTAGGCACTCAGTGCAGATGATCCACACAGCAGCCCCATAAATTGGCTTTAATCAGCCAGGCAGGTAATAGGTTTCAGTCATGATTATGACCAGGACCAGAAGAGTGGAATGACTTGGCCAGAGCCACTCAGCCAAAGTGTGACCCCGAATCAGCCTGCTCCACGGTCAGCGCTGGGGGTCAGGGTCCTGCTCCTGGCCACCTGGCCATCCAGCCGCCCAGCCTGGGGGTTTATGGTGTCGGAAGCCATCCTGTCTCCCTGCCCACCCTGCCCCAGCCTCAATCTCTTACTTTCAAAGAACAGCATTCCCGAGTCCAGCTGCCGAGTTCTGCTGCCCTGCCGGGGCCCCAGCCTGGACCCCAGGGACTGGCCATCTCCACGATGCCAGGTGACCATCGGGGGCGGGCGGCCCGTGGCCCGGCATGCCAGGAGGGCACTACTCCCCAGCTCCACAGTGACGTTCCGGGGCAGCTCCGTCAGCCGGGGCGCATCTGCAGGGAGGAGACCCGTCAACCCTGCCTGGAGGCTGGACCCGCTCAGCGGCCTCTCCTAGAGGACTGCCTCCCCTCTCCCCCACCCCTGTACCATTGCCCTTGCGAACCTAGGGACCGACTCCCGTCCAGGGCTCCAGGGTCAACCTGAGCTGAATGGTATCCACCCCTGGAGAGCTCTTGGGATGGGCAAAGGGAGTGACTCATGGGATGGTACGAGGGGTCTCAGGGGCCTAGCTTGACCCCAGAGTGCAGGGAAGCAACATGCCCACTTCTGGCTGTGACACTTCTCAGAAAACCCCTCCAATGGGCTGCAAGATGTGTTTCTGAGTCTGATTGTGACCCACTCACACAGGAGCTGAGGGTGAGCCTTCACTCCAACCCCTGCATCCCCTCTCTTATGCCTGCCTCCTCCTGGGCCACAGGGGTTTCCTCTTGGGGGGTCCTGAGCTTCCCTCTGACGCTTAATCCCCTGGCCTGAGCCAGGCCCACTTCTGCAGAGGAGAGCATGGCCAGGGGGGCCTGGCTGGACTCAGCTGCCATTTCCACAGTCCCTTCTGTGGCCACCACCCCAAACAGCCAGCGTCGTGGGGGATTATAGGTCTTCTTCACCCTCTTCTCTAGAGCTTGCCCTGTTGGCTGAACTTTTTTATAAAGAGCATGTCAAACACCACCACAGAACTAAAACTCGCTCATTATAAATAACATGACCCTAACATTAGGGTCTGAACTGGGCCACTCGGGAATGAAAAGGGGCTGCATTAATAGTGACCCCAGGACAATCGGCTAAACAAGGGCTGTCCTGGTCACCAGGAGTTATAAGACATTCTAACACATACACAAAGCGTGGAAATCCTCCTAATTCTTGTTCCACACACCCTAGATCCCACACCCTTCCCCAAGGTAACCACTGTTAATAGCTTGCAGTGTTTCTTCCAAATCTTCTTTTTTCCTAAGCATCATTTGACTTTTATAATCAGAAGCAGAAAAAAAGAATCAAGTTATTTCCCAAAACAGAAACTCAAGATGCTGTCTCTCCGTCAGCAGGCCAGGGACAGCTCCAAGCCAAGTGGGTGCAGATCTCTCCCTCTGCAGCCTCTGGGCGCTGCCCTCAGGTCCTTGTCCCTAGGCAGGCCCCTGCAGCAGGGAGATCCCTGGCCTTTTGTTTTGCTTTGTTTTGTTAACCCTTTGAGTCTGGCACCATGGAAAAGCGTCTGCCTCTTTGTTCTTTCCATCTGTCCCCAGAAATATCCTTCATCCATCCAAATCATGACATCAAATTTCCCTCCTGGCCTTGGGGATTAGGGAAGTTCCAGGGAGATAAAAACACGATTTGGAAAATTACTGTGAGGAGGAAGACGGTCTTGGACCCAGCCTCAGACACCACCCTTTCTCATCGGGGCCTGGCAGCCGCCAAAGCTCACGATCCCAGAATCCCAGAAAGCCTTTGCTTGGGCTCGCCCTAGACAAGGTCACGGTTCCTGCAGAGCCCTGGCCCCCAGGGGTACAGCTTTGCCACTGGGCCCCACCTGCCCTGAGCAGAACACCCCAACAGCCTACCTTCCCCAGCTGCACCCAGCCCGACCGCAGAGCCCAGCTCCAGCCTCCATAAGAAAACGTGGAAAATCATACTTCATTACTGCACTGGCACAAAGACATGCATGATGCAGGCTGGATTTGTCTTTATCTATTCACTACTGGTCATTTTTTTCTTCTGATTTTAAAAGAAATCAAAATTAGAAAAGTGTCCTGGACCCCTATAAGTGCAGGGCCTTCTGCCTATGCCCACTGTGCCCAATGGAGAATTCGCCTTGCCATTGTCCCCTCATCACAGAGCCTGGCCCATTTCTTCCCAACTCCCCCCTCAAGGCCGGCCAGAGGATCTTTAGTGTCTAAAACAGCACATCTCCTTGTTCCCCAGTCGGCCCCTGGCAACCAGGAGCTTCCAGGTTGGGACTAAGAAGCAGAGACTGAAATGAGAGAACAGAAAGAGGAGGCATATCCATTTAGGCCGGGTGTGGTGGCTCACACCTGTAATCCCAGCACTTTGGGAGGCCAAGATGGGCGGATCACTTGAGGTCAGGAGTTCAAGACCAGCCTGGTCAACATGGTGAAACCCCATCTCTACAAAAAATACAAAAATTAGCCAGGAATGGTGGTGTGTACCTGTAATCCCTGCTACTTGGGAAGCTGAGGCAGGAGAATCACTTGAACCCAGGAGGCAGAGGTTGCAGTGACCCAAGATCATGCCATTGCACTCCAGCTTGGGCAAGAGACCGAGACTCCCTCTCAAAAGAAAAAAAAAGAGGACACATCCATTTAGAGGGGAATCAAGTAAAGCACAGACCACAGCTCAGGGCACTGAACTCAGGAGGGGGTGCCACACACAGTCAGGCCACCAGCCATGTGACCAGTCACTCCGCTTCACTGGGCCCTGGTCAGCTCAGCCAGCCTGGACACAGATTTTGGGGAAGGATGCCCACGTGCATTGATTATTTATTCCACATAAGCCCTGAGTGAAGCACATTCTCAGGAAGCCTCTCGGGGGCCCTATGAGCACAGTTCCGCTACCACCCTCCCCTTTCACAGATGCGGAAAGAGAGACTCTAAGAGGTAAATAATGCAGGCAAGTATCAGCGGGCCTGGGCATGGAGCCAGGACTCCTGACTGGCACATGCCAGGCCTGGAAGATGACGCACCAGCGCCTCACAGGCTGGTCTGCAAGTGCAGGCCCTCCTGGCACAGAGGAGGAGGTTGCCTCCCTTCCTACGCCCCAGACGCTGCCAGGAAGCCACCTCCAGCTCAACAGCAGGAAGCAGGCACAGTGCACACCCGTTCCCGACCTCTGCCAACCTGGCCAGGAAGGCTGGACCACAGCTGCCACCCAGATGGGTAGGAAATTCCATTTCCCACCACCGCTGCCAGACCAGCTCCCCCCAGACCCACAGGTGCTGGGCCATTGTCCATCCCTTCCCTGACCTAAAGTTAAGGCCAGAGGCCACTGGTGACCCAGCCACAGTGGAAACATCTGAACATACTGCCCTCCTCTGGAAACCTCTCGCCACCCCCTTAGGGCACAGCCCAAACTCCTCTGTATCTCCCCAGACCAGGAGTGATCAGTACCAGGTGGCAGCTATCCTGCTGCCCCCTCCCCACCCTCCCACTCTGCCTCACTTCCCTTGCCATGGGGAGGGCTGCACATGCTGTTCCCTTTGCCTGGAACACTGTTCCCCAGCTCATCATCTTTCTGGGTGCTTCTGGTTTCAGTTTAGATGTCACCTCCTCCAAGAAGCCTTCCTGGTCCCCAGCACTGGATTAACCTTCTCTGGGCACCCACAGCCCCTGAGGATGCAACCTTCCAGCCACTTGGTGCTCTGTGTGTGCTAATTGCCTGCCCTCTGGTCTCTCTGCCTGGCCTCATGAGCAACACAAAGGCTGATGCTGTGTCTCACCTGCCCTGTGTCCCCAGCACAAGGCCTGGCACAAAAGCACCTGGTGACACTGTATTGGAGGAATGGATGATGGAGCAAGTGAAGGAAGGCTAAGAGCACCCCAAGCCTGAGAGGATCTCAACTCTGAGGCAGCACAACCCCCCAGGCCAGACCCTCCTACCTAGGCCTGCTCCAGCCACAGCCCAGCCCGCCTTCGGCCTCCTCAGGCGCCCCACCCAGCCCTGGCCCAGCCTGGCCCATTCAGCCCAGACCAGCACATTCTGGATTATCTGCGCTTCTCTAGAACCCCAGCACCTGCTTCTCTCGCCATGGCCTCAACAAACACTCGGAGCCTGATCTGTCCTAGCTCCGTGTGCCAAGAAGCTGTGCCCACAGCTTCCGAGCAAGTCCCAGTGCCCAGAACTCTGACCTGGGACTGAGACATCCCGGAAGTTACAGCCAAGGCCACATGCTGGCCACCGAGGAACTCAGACTCCACATCTGCAGCAAATGGATGATCACCCCCTCCCCCATCTACGGAGCAATCGCTATGGGCCCAACCCTGTGCTAACGGGCTTGATTTCACTGAATCCTCACAGCAACCCAAGGAAGGGAGTAATGCGGTCAGCCTCACTTTACAGATGGGAACCTCAGGCTCCTTGAAAAGACCAAAGCACATAGGTGGGGACAGAGATGAGAGTGGAACTTAGGTCTCATCCTGAGCGGAACCAGACTGTTGGCGGTGGGCCTCCAAGCTGGTCCCAGTGATCCCTGCCTCCTGGTATTCACACCTTTGGATATCCCCTCTCACACACACTGCACCAGGGTCGCTCTGCGGGATGAGTAGGATAAGGCAGAAGCAATAGCTTGTTACTTCCAAGACTGCGGCTTCTCTCTGAGATTCTCTCTCTCTCTTTCTCTGGGAGCCTTCTGCTAACAGCCCCATGTGTAAGCCTGGAGTGCATCCCCTAGGCCCAGGCAAATGTTAAGATGACTGCAGCCCCAGCCAACATACTGATTTTAATCTCAGGATGGACCCTGAGCCAGAATTACTCAGCCAGGTCACTTTCAGATTCTTGATCCTCAGACTGTGATATAATAAATACTTACCGTTTAAGCCACAAAATTTGGGGGCTATTTGTTACCCAGCAAGAGCTAACACAATCACCACATCCCCTGGACTTCTCTTGTCTCCACATGCTCAGATCCGCATGATGCAAACCACACTGGCAACTCGTGTGGGAGAGTTTCCCCTCCCTGCGGAGAAGCAGGGCAGAGTGCTGGGAAAGGAGGATGGGAAGGGGAGGGGAGACGAGGTGTACACTCACGTCCAACCACCAGCTGGATTTCGGCAGAGGCGTCACCCAACTCATTGACAGCCCGGCAGGTGTAGACGCCAGCATCCCTCTCCTGAGCCGCCGGGATCCGCAGCTTCCCAGAGCTGGAGCCCTCAGGGGCCAGGATCATTTCAAGACCCCCTGGACCAAAGAGGAGAAAGGTGTCCCTGGTACCATGGAGGCCAGGGTGGGAGGCTGCTCAAGCCTGAACCTGAGCTCCTGCAACTCCACAAGGTTGGGGCCTGGGGACAGTGGGTGGAGGCAGGTTTCAGCTCCGAAGTCAGGACCCCTGGGTCCAGTCCTGCAGGGGGCTTGGATCTTCCCTAAGCCCCTCTGTTGAAGAGGATTTGGGGTAAGCCAGGCCCTACATGTCAGGCTCATGACCCAAGAACTCCAGCCTGGAACCCCCAGCTGGTACCCACCCCACCGCCCAGGTCCAGGGGTCTGGATCTGCTCTAGGAGGGATCTGGGGAGCCCTGAGCCCTTCCTCATTTTTCTTCTTTCTTTTTGTTTTTGTTTTTGTTTTGAGACAGTCTCACTCTGTCACCCAGGCTGGAGGGCAGTGGCGTGATCTCAGGTCACTGCAACTTCTGCCTCCTGGGTTCAAGTGATTCTCCTGCCTCAGCCTCCCGAGTAGCTGGGATTATAAGCACATGCCACCACACTAGGCTAATTTTTTGCAATTTTAGTAGAGACAGGGTTTCATCATGTTCACCAGGCTGGTCTCAAACTCCTGACCTCAAGTGATCTGCCCCCCTCGGCCTCCCAAAGTGCTGGGATTACAGGCGTGAGTCACCGTGCCCGGCCCCTTCCTCATTTTTCTTGCCTGACTTCCCTCCACCCCTGATTCTGACTGCCCTTTTAAATGTAATTTTTATTTTATTTATTGTAGTAAAATATACATAATACAAAATTGACAATCTGAACCGTTTCTAGGTGTGCAGTCAGCTGAGTGGCGTCAGTATATCCACACCATTGCGTGCCCATCACTGGCCTCCACAGAACGACTTGCATCTCCCCAAACTGAAACTCCTCATCTATTAAATATTAACTCCCCATGTCCTCCTCTCCCCAGTTCCTGGCAAACACCATTCCATTTTTTGCCTCTATGAATTTGACGTCTCTAGGGAGCTCACGTAAGTGGAGTCAGAGAATATTTGTCTTTTTGTGTCTGGCTGATTTCACCTAGAATAGCATCCACCTAGCAGGACATCCATGTAGCATGCGTGAGAATCTCGTTCCTTCTGAAGATGGAAGAGTATTTCATGGTAAGGCTTCCTTTCCAAGAGGGGCTCTAGGGCTGGGTCGATAGGGCTCTCGGTCAGAATACACACTGAGGAAGGAGTCCAGAAGCCTCTGCCACCCACCTGCTCGTGACCCTAAACAAAATGCTCAACTCCGAGCTACCACCACCCGCCCCGCCTATCTCAGAGTCAGAGTGAGGCTCTGATGAGGTCCCAGGCAGGTGCTGCAGGACATGGAGCAAGATCAGGTGGGAGGGGCCAGTACTGCTGACCCTGCTTGATCCTTGAGAGGAAGCCCAGCATACAGTTCCCAGAAAGACCTAGTGAGACCCCAGGATCTGTCTGTCAAACTCCGGCCTGGCAGCAGGGACCATGAAAACACTCTGCCTATGACCTCGGGGTCTCAGGACAACCCTGTCATCATTACCGTCATTTTCAAATAATCACATCGTCCTCAGCACTATCACTAAGAATGCCAAGTGCAGCCCATGTGCCACACTTGTTCTAAAACCTTTGCACACGTGGCCAGGCGCAGTGGCTCACGCCTGTCATCCCAGCACTTTGGGAGGCTGAGGTGGGAGGATCACTTGAGGTCAGGAGTTGAAGACCAGCCTGTCCAATATGGCAAAACCCTGTCTCTACTAAAAATACAAAAATTAGCCAGGACTGGTAGCACACACCTGTAATTCCAGCTACTCAGGAGGCTGAGGCACGAGAATCTCTTGAACCCAGGAGGTGGAGGCTGCAGTGAGCTGAGATTGCACCACTGCATTCTAGCCTAGGTGACAAAGTGAGACTCTGTCTCAAAGAAATAAATAAAACCAAAAAATAAAAAATAAAACCTCTGCTCATATGGATTCATTTAATCCTATGCAACCAAACTATCTTTGATTTTTCAGATGAGGAAACTGAGGCTCAGAGATGCCAGGTCACTTGCCCAAAATCACCCAGGGGAGCCGGAATTCAAATCTGGGTCTGGCTCAGCGCTGCTCTGAACATCTACATCAGCTGTGTCATCACAGGCTGGGGGTAAGGGTCAGGGGGCTGGGACCCACCAGCTCCAGCACAGGCTGGGGGCGAGGGTGGGGGGCGCCAGAACACCGGCTCTCCCAGACTCCTCATTCAGAACAGCCCCTCCCTCCTCCTCCCTTCTTTCTGGAAAGCTGCTCCTTCAGGGCCCCAGTGGGACAGCTCCAGGGCCCCTCCCCACCAACACACCTCGATACCAGATGACTCGGGGTGGGGGAACCCCGGACGCCTCACACACCAGCACAGCCTCTTCCCCAGCAGCAGCCAGCACCACGGCGTGTACAGCAGAGACCGACGGTGGGTCTGCATGGGGAAGAGATGTGGAATTTGGGACCAACCCTCAAAGGTCATAAAGCACAGCCTCAGGAAGCCCTCTCCCCCATCCCACCCATGCCCTACTCTTGCCACACCAGCCTCCTTGCCACCCCTGGAGCACCCCAGGCTCAATACCCCGTCCCAGTCCCTCCACCTGCGACGCTGTTCCCATAGTGACCCTAGGTAAGGGTTGCTCAGAGAGGCTGTGGCCAAGTCCTGGACACAGCAGCCACTTCCCTCTCACCTCCAGCACAGGTCCCTCCCTCACACCAGCCAGCTCCCTGCTCTTCGCAGCATCCTCAGCATCAGGAAACATCCCATTGGCCTATGTGTGCCTCCTCCTTAGAATACAAGCTCCACCCAACAGGCACCGTGTGTTCACTGCTGTGCCCCAGTGCAGGACACAGATAAATGCTCCATAAATACTGATGGACGGGAGCAGGGGAGGGAGAAGGGAAGGAGGGGGGCGGGGAAGGAAGCCCCTCTCCTGTGATGCGATGCTTGTGGCCTGGGTACCTGTGTGGTAGAGGGTGACCGTCTCCTGGTCCGTGCCAACCTCATTAGTGGCCTGGCAGCTGTAATTCCCAGCATCCTCTGCGGCTACCCCCTGAATAATCAGGGTTCCCTGTGCGTCCACATGGATTCTGGAGTTGTGCCATAAAAACACATTGGATCACACAAGGGGTTGCTCCACAGTTGTCATTAATAACAAGTTAATGAACAATGCGACTAGCAATGAACTTTCTGTGCTGACAGCTTGCTCTGAGCCTCTGCTAAGCACTTTATGTACATGTAATTCATGAGGCTCAGGGAGGTAAGACAACTTGCTCAAGGTCACACAGCCTGAATGGTGGGGCCAGGACTTGCCCAACGTCACATAGCCTGAATGGCAGGGGTGGGATTTGGGGGCGGGGGTGGGATTTGGGAGCAGGTCCGCACAGCCTGAGCCTGTGACTGCTGAACCCACACGGCGGCCTCATCGCTGTGTTCCCAAAGTGATCTCACTGCTGAGTCTGGAATGATCTCAGGAGGGAGGAAGGCAGATGCTACTCCCCCATTTACAGTTGGGAAGGGCAAGGCCCAGAGAGGCCCCTGGGAGTCCTGTCCACCTGCTGCGAGTCCCCGAGATTCGTGTTCTGGGCCCCTCACCTGCTGCCCTCTTGTAGGGCTTGGCCCTCACGGCTCCAGGAGATGTGGGGTATGGGGTACCCAGAGGCTGAGCAGCTGATCTTCACCTCCACACCTTGGGAGAAGTGCTGGGAGCTGGTGTGGATGCTGACCTGCGGGGCCTCTGTGACCCAAAAAGTGAATAGGTGAGGACGAGTACATCAGAGCAGCCGTTCTATCGCAGGCACCCAGCCCTGGGCCCTCCCCTCCCATAGCCACAGATGCAAGACAGAGGAAGCAAAGACCCCAAACGGCTTCAATCCCCCAGGGGTGGCTTCTCTGGGACCTGGGTAGCCCAGGTGGCCACGAGGCGCATCCCCAGGCCACATGGAGGCTGATTTTCCAACAATCCCAGCCTGGAGCCCTGTGCTCCTGGAAGCCGGGGAGCTTTAGGGAGATGTCAGGCAGCTGCCAGGGCTGGGGACGACTCTTGTCTCCAGGAAATTTGAGGCTGACCCAAGGCCTGCCCTGCTATTGGCCCCAATCTTAGGTTCTAACCTGGCCTCTTGGAAACTCAGAAAGCAGGCTGGTCAGACTCAAACAGAGCTCCCAGGGCCCGAGCATCTAGAAACAGTAAACAAGGCCCTCCCACACGGGCGGCACCCACGTTAGTGGATCCCCTCCTTCCTGCAGAGCCCAGACACAGCCTCAGAATCCTGCCCAACACACTCCAGCAGTCACTCAAGAGCCGCTGGCTCAAGAGAGAACACTTGTTCAATGTGCTCATTTTTACACTTGGGGAGAAGGCTCCGTCTAGCTTCTGGGTAGACCTGAGGCCTTACCCAGATCTGAAAACTCCCAGATGGGTGCTCTGGGCATGGCCTCCTCCACCCCCATCCAGTCAGTGCTGCCAAACACATCTGACCTCTGAGCTCCCACAAGGTTCCAGTATTCAGTTCCTGTCCCACATATTGGGCAGGGTGCAGTGGGGAGTGGGGAACAATGGAAGGGCTCGATGACATGGAAAAAGGACATGACACAGTGAAATTGGTTTGGCCTACAGCAGTAAAACTTAAGTTAGATATTAGGAGGAATTTCCCAGCAGTGAGAGCCATTAGACTACCTAGGAGGCTACAGAATTTTCTCTCCCTGCAAGTTTAAAAAACACTGAAAGGGTTGCTATTGCCTGCCAGAGAAAAGGTCTGGGGAGAGGGAGGGACTCACGGCTTCTGGGGTAAACACTAGGTTGAGTGCTAAAGTGGGGGAGCGGCAGAACAAGCCTCACCTCGCACCAGGAGCCAGACAGATGCCCTTGTGACCCCGTTGGCATTACTGGCCACACACTGGTATCTCCCGCCGTCTGTGGGGATGATGCTGCTGACCTCCAGGGACAGGTCAGCCAGCTGGGTGACTCGGCCTGTGGAGGCTGGCAGGACTCGCCAGTCCCGGACCCACGTCAGGTTGTAGGGGGCCTCGCCAAGGACCCGGCAGGATAGGATGGCAGTCTCCCCCGGGGACACGGTCACATTGGAAGCAGGGACCAGCTGCGGTGGGGGGTCTGCAGGGACAGGAGCACAGGAGGAACCGAGAGGCTGAGGCAAGGGAGGGGTCATCGCGCAGGCCCTGGTGCCTCACCCTGAGGTGCAGGTCCACCCGAACCAGATCGTGCAGGACACGTCAGCCAGCGGCATGGGTGATCAGCAGGCATCACCCCAGTGGGAGGTCATTCTCCTACCACCATTATACACTCCCCGGGGGGCTGCATGGCCCGCGCCTGCTCTCCAAACAACAGCCAGTGTGACGGACGTGCGGCAAGCCCGGCACGTCTCTCATGGCCCCCAGCTGAAGACACCACGCTGGGGAATACAGCCTCGAAGTCTCCAGCCAGGGGAAGAGTCATGTGTTCACAACGACTCTCTGTACCAACGGCAGGGCTATTTACAGCAGCCAAATATGCCCCGAAGGAGGAAGGCGCTAAGCAAACCGCTATCTGGATAGCAAAAAGCCACAAGAAGTGGCGAGATCAGAGACTGCTGAGCATAGAAAAAGGCCTGAAAGGAAGTAAATCCAATGGCAAAATGGAAGGGCTACAAGTTACTTTGATCTTTTTCGTTGTTTATATTTTTCCAGCCTTCCTACTGGGAGCACGTGTAATTTCTAGCTGTCAGTGTAGAGTGGCTGATCTTTCCATGCTTACGGGTTTTCTTCTCTACTAAGCAGCCTGCATTCATAATTTTAAAAATAAAGCCAATTTCATTTGGAGACAGTCTGTGGTGTTTCCAACCTCCCCAGCTCGATGGCTCCATCCTGGCCAGGACTTGGAGGCAGGAAGGGGTCCTGACCATGAGATGGATGGTGGCCCCTGAAAGATGAGCCCTAAGAAGTCAGAGTTGGGATTGAAGCTGAGACCCACAAGCCGTTCTGGGGTGAGACAGCCCCAAATGAGGGGCAGCAGGCAGGTGGCAGCCTGGGCAGCCAGACTCGGAATGACGGACAGTCCCAGCAGCTGGCTGGAGACTCGCCAGGAGGAAATCCTAGAGGGAAGAACGCGGGAAGAGGGTAAGGAAGGGGTACATGGAGGGTCCCCAAGGGACAGACCTGTGATGACAATCTGGGCCTTTGCTCGCCCGGTCCCAGCCCTGCTGACGGCTGTGCACTCATAGGTCCCCTCCTCAGCCTTGGAGGCCCTCGGGATCTCCCAGCTGCTGTTTCCTGACTCCCTGCAAACAGGGAGCAGAAGGAGATGGACAATCACACTGACTCTGGTCAGGGTACCCCTGGCCTCATTTGCCCCTCAGGGACCTTGTCCCCTGAATCCTGCCCAAAGGAGAGACCCCAATTCCTCTGTGAGATGTAATAAGTAGAGGTACACAGCCAGGGACGTGGAAATTCCACAACATGCTGTGTGGCTTGCAGCCAGGCCCTTCCTTTCTCTGAGTCCTGGGCTCCCAACCTTCCTCCCGATGCCCACGGCTGGGCCCCGCATGGGTTGAGTTTTCCAGGAGCTGAGGAAGGCCCTCCGCTCCTTCACAAGCTGATGGCCCAGCAGCGATGGGAGTCTTGGGGACAAATTCTTCTCCATTCCTGGCTGCACTGGAAGTCCCAGGCTGGGCTGCCCAGGAGGACAATGACAGAGACCAGTATCCCTCTCCTGCCACCCACTCCCCAGAGTTCCCTCCAGGGCCTCAGCAGCCAGGAGTCCTGTGACTGGGGACAATCAGCTGCCGTGGGCCACTCACTGCAAGTGCCTCTCTTCGCCCAGCCTGGCTTCACCTCGCCGCAGCTGCAGCCAGAAGGGAAGGGTGCTGTACACGGAACAGGAGACCAGCAGCGGCTGCTGCAGGTAGCCATGGATCCTGGGCGCCATGCTGACCAGGGGAGCACCTGGGGGCGAGGACCAGGACTCAGAATGTTGACCCACCACCCCCTAGCCACACCCGGTGACACAGAGACCTGCAGGGACGCACCAGCATCCAGGAGGCCAGGATTCAACCCCTGGTTCCGCCATTTGGTGGTCACCTCTCTAAGCCTCAGTTTTTACCTCTGCAAAATGGGAGTGATCATGGTACCATCCAGATTGTGTTGTCCTGAGGAGCTGGTGAGAAGAGGTGCATGGAGACCTCGTGGCACAATATATGTGGCTCCACCAGCTCCACTAGCGCCCCTTGGCACAGCTCCTGGGGCTTTTGTGGGTTATGAGACTGTTCAACTCAAGGCTGGCCAGCCTGCACCAGACCCTTCCGCTGCACCACCTGATTGTATTAGCACCAGTTCTAAAATCTGATGAAATGCTGCCAACCAGGATTAGGCTCCCCAGGGGTAGGGGTGGGTTTGTGCAATTACTCCTCTGCCTAGAATATCGGTTTTACCCAAATTTGTTGGAAGGAAACCTTCTCATTTAAAAATAAGCACAGCTGGAGGATGGCTATAAATGCAAAATTCACACGCATTTTTGAGATAAAACCAGAGACTTCAATGAAATCTCATAGCTTGTAATGAACCCCATGGGACGGCTATCAGACACCCCTGCCCCCCCAGCCTGACCCTGGTCTTGGAGCGACACAGTCTCTTCCCTTGGCTATTGGAATTACTTCAACAGAGAAGTCTGAGAAACTGCCCCACAGGGTCAGCCGTGGCCCATCAGAGCTGGATGCCCCCTGGCAGGGGCTCAACCTTTGTGTCACCGTTTCCCCATCCCCACCAGCAGAGGAGCCCGGCAGAGATGCTCCGGGGGTGAGACAATGCAGTAGACCTCCTCGGGGCCCGGGCTGGGGATGAGCAGGCGGTGGTGACATCATGCTGCAGGCTCCCTGCCACGACTGTCCCGAGGGGGAGGGGTGTCCAACCATCCAGCCACGTCCTCGGCTGTGTGCAAAGCAGCCGCCGCTCACCCACGCACCCTGGGAGCCTTTGCCAAGCCAGCTTGGGCTCCCCGCTTCCATGAACTGAAAGGGACCGCAGGTCCACCTTCATCTCTCCAAACCCAGAGCCACCTGCCGCAAGGCGAAATCCCAGCCTCCTGGACCTGGAGGGCGGGAAGGAAGCAAAAATCCAAACTGCGTCCCTCCCCCCACTTCAATCTAGAGCTGAGTGAGAACAAAAGTCAGAGCTAAACTGCAAACTCTTGGATTCATCTGAAGAACAGGGGACAGAAAACAGAGGCTGTTATTCCCCCTGCTAAAATTCCTTCCTGAAAGTTCCTCCTCGAGGCTACAAAGGCCAAGGGAAGAGAGGCCCAGGAACCACAGCAGGGGAGTGGAAGCTGGGAGGCTGGAAAGAAGAGGTCTCCAGCTCTCCTGCCCAGCCCTGCCCTGCCCCACCCAGGGGCACCACAGGCACCATGGGCACAACGGGCACAGTGGCCAGCCTCAAGAGCTGGCCCTTCTTCCCCGCACACCCTTCATCCCTATTTGAAGTGGACAGAGGAGGATGCCTCTCACTGAGATCCCCCACAAAGAAGTGCTAGAATGTCAATGACATCTACCTTTGTAAGCTCCTCTCAGGTCACCTCCAGGGGAGGGAGACAGTGGGCCAGAGAAAGGCAATGAAGCCAGCGAGGAGGCCAGAGAGCCAGTGCCCTAGACATCCCTGCTAGGACCAGAGGCAGACCTGGAAGGCCAAAGATCCACCCTGCCCCCTGGTAGCTTCCAGCCTGAACAGTGAGACCTCAGGGACACACAGGAAACCAGCAAAAAGCCACACATATGGGAACCAACACAACATGGCCAAAGACTGGACAACAAAATGATGTGTTCCTGCAATGATGCAATGGTAACAGCAGCTGCCACACCGGAGGGCCCTTGCCCACAAATGGATGCATCCTGCATGCGGCCTCTGAACATCCAAATGCTGTCTTGTTGTGTGCATTAGCTTGGATACCACCGGGGCAGCGCTGTGAGGCAGGCAGGTTCAGTTTCCTTATCTATGAAGTAGGGCACACCTCAGAAAAGCTGTAAGCATCGGTGAGCTAGCACATGGCAGGAGCTTGGCCCAGGACTGGCTCATGGAAAGTATCCAAATGGTGACTAGGATGATTGCGATTATGACAGTGATTGTGATCATGGGAGAGCAAATGCCATGTCTGCCCTGCCCACTGCTGTATCACAGTGCCTAGCACCATGACTCATACATAGGAGACATTCAAAATGAATGCTGAATAGATGGATGAATGGATGGGTGGACAGGTGGGTGGATGGATAGGCAGATAGATGGATAAATACATGGATAGATAAGTAAATTAATAGTGAATGGGTGGGTGGATGGATGGGCGAGTGAATGGGTGAATGGATAGATGGGTGGATGGGTGGATGCATGAATGGGTGAGTGGATGGGTGAGTGAATGGTGGGGGGTGGGTGGGTGAATGGGTGGGTGGATGGATGAATGGGTAGATGGATGGATAGATAGTGAGTAGATGGATGAGTGGATGACTTTGTTCTAATCCTTGAGCTGAGAGCCACAACTGAAGCATCTTAGTATTTAACATAATGCCTTATAGGGAACAGCTGTCCATAGAAGCTTAATGAACAAACACTTTCTAATCTAATTTAATCTAATACAGTCAGGGAAGGCTCTAGGAAGAAATGGGACTCTGAGTGAGCCAGGGAACTGGAGGACAAAAGAGCCAACCACTCACCTGGGGCCACCCCACTGTAGGACACTCCAGAGACACGAAGGACGGGGTTTCCCTCATGGTCCTTGCCCTTCACCTTGAGGTAGAACCGCTCCTTGGGGGTGTGGAAGGGCGGCCCACCCCACAGCTCGTAGGTGGAGCCATTGGAGAGGGGCTTCGTAGGCAGTGTCAGGAGGGACTTCCCTGAGCTGTGTGCCAGCTCCACTGAGTCTAAGCGGCCAGGTGCCTGCAGGCCCGTGGAATTGATCACCAGGGAGATGGGGACCCCTGCAGAGAGAGGGTAGAACAAGGTGCTGGTGTAAGTGTCTGGCTCTGTGATCCCCCTCAAGTAGGAGCCCTTGAATCACACCCCAGGGGTCCTGCTTGCCTGGCCCTCCCTACCTGGTCCCTCCTTCCCTACCTACCCCTGTGCTGACCCGACACTGGGGGTGGGATAGGTAGAGAAGGACCCTTGCTTCTGTCCGTGGTGCTGAAACATCACAATCATCCAAACATGGCTTCCCAATGGCTGCATCCCCTCTGTCTGCACTGACTTGGAGTCCCATGGAGTAGAACTGTCCCCCACCCCATTAACTCTGGTGTGGGCCATAATCAGACAGGCTTCAGGGAATAGCCTCAGATAAAGCAAACACCAAGTTTGGGGACTCCAACTTTTGACCAGACTCTCCCCATGCTCAGGTTCCGTTTGGTTTTCTTTTCTGTCTTGATGGAAATGTGGTACTTTTCACACTATCCCAGAAGAGGCAGAACTGGAGTCAGATTTCATAATTTCTTTTTAAAATTTCTGTCATCTAGGCTAGATTCGATCACAGCTCACTGCAGTCTCAAACTCTTGGGCTCAGGTAATACTCCTCCCTCAGCCTCCCGAATAGCTGGGACTAACAGGTATGCACCACTATGCCTGGCTAATTTTTTAAATTTTGTAGAGATGTGGTCTTGCTGTGTTGTCTGGGCTGGACTTGAACTTCTGGCCTCAAGCAATCCTCCCACCTTGGCCTCCCAAATGTTTATCTTTAAAAAAATTATCCTGGCCTGGTGCAGTGGCTCAGGACTAACCCCAGAACTTTGGGAGGCTCAGGCAGGCAGATCACCTGAGTTCAGGAGTTCAAGACTAGCCTGGCCAACATGGTGAAACCCTGTCTCTACTAAAAATACAAAAATTAGCCAAGTGTGGTGGTACACACCTATAATCCCAGCTGCTCGGAGGGCTGAGGCAGAGAATAGCTTGAATCCAAGAGGTGGAGGTTGCAGTGAACAGAGATTGCACCACTGCACTCCAGCTTGGGTGACAGAGCAAGACTCCATCTCAAAAACAAAATTATCTTGGATATACATCTTTATCAAAAGCAGAAACTCAACAGGGTCACATGAGACCTCCTGTACCCACTTCCACTGGGGACAGGTCAGTTTTCAATTCCCACACCATCACTACATGTAGGATTTCTTTGCTCTCCTGGTTTAACAGTAGAATCAAAGTTTTCCTGCTTCTTCCCTTTCTGCTATCGGCAAAACAAACAAACTGAGCAAGCAGCCCCTTTTCACTTTCGAGATATGACTCCTGGTTCTGGCAGGAAAACTGGCAAGGGCTGACAAGAATAACAAACATTAGAGAAGACAGACTTGAAAGAAAGCCCTCGAGGTCTGGCTTACACCATTTTTGGTCACTATTCAGGGTCCAGAGTCAGCCTGACCTGATCCAGGCTCCTCCCAGGAGAAGCTGAGCTGAGCTGGTCCTTGCAAAAGTCTCCAAATGGCTCCATGGCAGGGACCATATTTTCCAAACTATAAGTTAAGACCTTTGATCTGGCCACCAGATGGTATTTTCCAGCATGGAGCTCAGGCATCCTGCACCAGAAGCCTGCCTCGGGGTCAGGCTTCTAAGGTGGAACTGTAGCAGGCACGCACGCATCCTCAGATCCTGGTGGGTGGCTTTCAGTTGGAAGCCTGTGCCTCCACCTTCAACGTCCTCCCAGGCTCCTCCAACCTTCCTCAGTCTCGGGGCACCCAAATGTCCCCCAGGACATTCCTTCCTTTGCAGTAAGGCCCTGCTCTCCTTTTTGGTCGCTGTCAGGTCACTGGCACCTGTTCTTTCATTGAACTAGCCTGCTGTTTGCTGGAAAAGTGAAGAAGCAGGACTCTAGGCAGATAGATTTTGACAAAAAGAAAGGAGGTGTGAACTTGGTAACAAAGGCCACAGTGTCAGTGTCCTGGAGGAACGATGGGAGGCAAGAACGATGATCTAAAGGTAAATGTCACAATGTCGCCTGGGCTGGGGCTGGTGGAAAGCTGGCCTGGAAGCTGGGTCTACATCGCTGTGGTCTTGGAGCACGGCCCCACTTAGCCTCCACAGGGTCCCTTCCAAAGTCACACGCAGCCAAGCGTTTCCCCCATACCTCCTCCACCACCTCCCAAAGCCAAGCCCCAGGTCTTCAGAGGCAGCTCAGCACTGTCTGCAGGGTCGGGGTGTTGTACCTTGCAAGGGCCACTCGAGGGTGTGGTTGAGGTCCAGGGAGGGCTGAGTGGAGAAGCCGGCTCGGAAGTCAATGTTGCTGACACCTGTGATCCTCACTGAATGGCGGCCACTGCTATAGACCTAGCACAGGCCCAGGTCTCACGTCACCAGAGGCTGGAACCCCAGCACTCCAGCTTAGGGCAGGAGGCGCCCAACTTGACCCAGCCCTGCATCAGCAGCTGAAATCCTCCTGCTTTTGTAGACACAGGGGCAACTTACCTGCTCCAGGGGGCCCAGCACCATGCTCCCCAAATGAAGGAGCTGAAGCCCCAGCTTACAACCCCAGCCTGAGCGGCACTCTTGAGGCTGTGCTGCCCTTTGGCTCGCCTCAGCCCCTGCAGGCCCTGTCTGTCCCCCTGCACGTCTAACTCCCTGCCTTGCTCTCCCCACTGGCATTACAGCTCTTGGCTCTAAGGTGCTGAGAGTTTCAAAGGCAGGTGGTGACACTGCCACTTTACCTGCAACGCCTAGCACGTTGCCTGCAGAAGGTGCTCACTAATGTTCATCTGGTCACCGGGACCCCCCACTCTTCCAGGGCAGCAGTCTGCTCACCCCAGGATGCTTTGTTGGGAGCCAAGCTGGCCTGCAGTTCCTGGCTCCCAGCCCCTCGTAGATTACAGCAGACCCTTCTCTTCCTGCCAGCCCTGCCCCACTGAGGCCTCCCACCAAAGCTCTTCTTGCTTCTTTACACATTCTTCACAGCTTGGTCAGGCACCTCTGAAGCCTGAAGTCATTTCTCCAAGTCCTTCTTAGATGTTCCCAAACTAACCCCAAACCACTCTACCTCTTCTCACTGGTACAAGGCAGAATGCCCTTCCTTGGTCCTTGACCCTTTACTTCTATTGATATGACCACATCACCACCCACACTCTAGCCATCCGCTTCCTAAGGCCCCAGGCTCCCCAGGGCAAGCAGAAGGAAGATGGTTCCAGTCCAGTGAAGCTGGTCCACCTTCTCCTGCAAGTCAGTGCCTTACCTTGATGGACCACAGCCCAGGATGCTCAGGCTTAAACGCTACGACCTTGGCCGAGTCAGGGATGTTGAGGAGCACGTTGAGGCCCTCGTCCTCCTTCAGGATCCTCCCTGTGGAAGCCCCAAGGGCTAGCTCAGTCCCTTTCCTGAGGGTGGCAGGAGCCCCGCCTGTCTCCAGGAATCCACAGTGCCCCAAACACTAGCCTCAGTCTTCTCGGAACTGACAAAGGTCTTGGCGGTCCTCAGCCACCGCCTTGCTCCACGCCCCACCCTCAGGGATTCCTGGGGCAGGCTGTGCACCTGACCTCTAGATCTGGGCACTCATGACATCTTCAGAGCGCCATGCGGCCAGGTGACCTCATCCGAATCACACTGCCCCTGCCTCTGTTAACCCTGATGAGTACTCAGCTCCGGGAGCCCCAGCTTCCCATCTGTATGATGTGTTACAAGTTCCTACCACCATGAGAATCCACTGGGTACCATGGAAAAGGCTCTAGGAGAGCCTCGTGATCCAGGAACCACCATTACTTTAATTACTCCTGCTTCCTCGCGCACCACGGGCACCCTCTCTCCACTTTGTGCCCTCCGCCCCCACATTTCCTTATTCCTGAAGCCTCATGTCTGAAGCCCTGCCACCCTTGGTCTGTTTCTTTCTCCCATCCTGGGCTTCCAGCTCAGTCCTGGGGCCAAAGAGAAGGCCAACCCCGAGGTGGTCCATACCCAGTGGATCCTGGACTTCAATCTCAGGCCCCGGCCCGCTCAACGAGATGGTGACTTCCTTCAGGCTGGGGTCAAAGGGGAGTCTCCATGTGTGATCCCCCTCCTCCTCGTGGTCCGTGGACAGCAGGTGTACCTTGGAGGCCTGGATGGCTGACTCCACCCACTTCAGTACCTGGAGGTAAGTATGAGAAGCTGATGCCAGCAGGTGCCCACAATGTCTTCCCCCTCCCATGGATTTTAGGCAGCATACAGACTTTTCAGGCTGCCCAAGGCCACCCCATGCCCCATGTCCAACACCAGGCCCGATTCACACATTGTGACCCTCTTGGCTTCTATGGGCTCTGAGCTGTAAAGCCTGAGTGGAAGCACTCAGAGGACTCAGCTCAGAGGGAAGGAGCAAGGCCATGGCCCTCTGCTGGGAAGACTCTTCTCCACTTCTCCACCCGGCCTACTTCCACAGCACCCACACTTCTTCCAGGAAGCCCTCTTGGTGCCTCGTACACACAATAAACCCTGGAGACCTGGAAACTCCCCCAGACCCATGTAGTTCATGACTGACCATCCCAGGGGCCTCCACCTGTGCTCCCACCAGCACGCCACGTTCCCCAGGCAGGACCGAGAGGCTGGGCTGCACAGCCTTCAGGTCTCTTCGCAATCCACAGAGGCGAGGAATTGCTGGATGGATTTTCACGATGCTGAGAAATCCTAAATCCTTGGATTCTGTAATTGCTTATTCATGCTAAAATCTTACATCTTTTGGACAAATCCCACTGAGAATCAGCTAAAAGGTAAGGACCCTCTGCCTGGGACACCATCCTACCTGTTAGGTACACATTTAGGGTATGATTTTAGGAGGTCCCCAAACTCCCTCAAAGATACTTCCTCTACCACAAACTGAACACAAACTTATTTAGTTTCTCCAAATCCTGACCAAGGCCTTCAAGCCCCTACGTTCTATGGTCCTGGGCACCTCAGCTGACCCAAGGTCACTGTGCCACTGCCTCCCACTGCCTGCTATGCTGGACCCCACCCCTCCCACAGGCAGCCCCCACCCACACGTGCTGTACTCTTTGCAGGAACGCCCTGCCCCCTCATCGACCGTCTTCTGGCTATTCTTCACCTCTCTGCTTGAAGAGGCTTCTTTAATCCTGAAAAGGTTCTGTTCTCTGGTACGTACTATTTTGCAGAAATCTGCACTCAATTCATTCACACTTACTGCATTTGGGCTTCTCATCCCTACTGGCCTGGGAGCTCTGTGGAGGCAGAGACCGTTGGCTGTGCCCATGTGTGTCTCAGCCCTGAGCTTGTTGCCAGGCACAGGATGGGTACTCAGGAGGCATCTTCTAGCTGTGTGAGTTCAGCAGGACATGTGTCTCCCAGGCAGAGCCATCAGACTGGCCTCAAGCCACCAGACTGGCTCTCAGGCACCTCACTCCATGCCCCTCCTCTACCCAGCTCATGCCTCCTGCTTTGCAATAGCCAAGTCACCTAGGTACCAGCAAGGAAACCAGGAAAGACAGAGAGGAAGGGGGCCCTCAAGTCTGGACCTTCTCTCTCCAAGCCAAGTTATCTCAAAGAGAATCCATCCTGTGCAAACCCAAAACTGAAACAAAATGAGCTCAACCATAAAGTTGGTACCATAACCACAGAGAAAAGAACGACTCAAAGTGAATTCTGAACCCACTGGCTCGACTACCCTTTCTCAGTAGAAGGATAAAAAGAACTGCAGGAAAAAAACCACACACACACACACACACACACACACACACACAAAACAAAAGACTTTAGTTAGTAGATTTAAGTCGGAAGAACTGTCAGCACTGTGATTTTGAAACCATTTTATGTATCTTGTTGGATAAAGCAAATAAGTAAAGATGTTAATATTTTCTGAATCAAGATTTTTTCCTTATAAACAAATGTAAGAGAGAGCTGCAAGTATAAAATCAGATGAGCTAAGTAAAAGACCCACAATACGGAATTTGAATTGGAAATATCAGTTTAAGCTCTCCAGATAGAGACAGATGATAGAATGCTAGGTGGGTGGGTGGGTAGGTAGACAGACAGACAGACAGACAGACAGAGCGACTGATCCAGAAGCAATGATGGCCAAAAATCTCACTATCAATGATCACCACCAGTCCCCAGATCTTGGTTTCTGAACACTATTCCCCACTAGGGTTCCTTGGAGAAATGGCTAATTCCAGGCCTGGGGCAGGCAATTTATAAGGTAAGCCTGGGACAATGGGTTTTTCCATAAAACAAAGAAATGCTCAAAGACAAATAGGGACATATCAAAAGGACACAGGAACCAGCCCAAAAAAGACTAATAACTGTACTCAATTGAAACACATTGAGGCCGGGCGCGGTGGCTCAAGCCTGTAATCCCAGCACTTTGGGAGGCCGAGGCGGGTGGATCACGAGGTCAAGAGATCGAGACCATCCTGGTCAACATGGTGAAACCCTGTCTCTACTAAAACTATAAAAAATTAGCTGGGCATGGTGGCACGTGCCTGTAATCCCAGCTACTCAGGAGGCTGAGGCAGGAGAATTGCCTGAACCCAGGAGGCGGAGGTTGCGGTGAGCCAAGATCGCGCCATTGCACTCCAGCCTGGGTACCAAGAGTGAAACTCCGTCTCAAAAAAAAAAAAAAAAAGAAACACATTGAATGACATAATCCACGTGCACATAACAGTACTCAGAAAAGAGAAAGCAAAATTCCAAACAGTAAAACCTCCTCTGCCACTACTGAAGTGACTCCTTAATTGAAGAGAAAGAACTAAGTGTGATTCCATGCCTTTTCAATAGAAATCGTACTTCAGAGAAACCAAACCATCCATCACTTTTGATGCATAAAAGGTCTTTTTCTTGGAAGAATGCCCACTCATAGATGTGGGAGGAATGCTACAGTTAGGAAAGCACCATTTTGCAGCGCCCAGTGAAATCATCATTTCAGGAAAGAGTCCTCAGTGTATGCTAAAACTATTAGATGAAAGGTTGATAGGAGCTGGATGTCTGCATAGAGCCAGAACATGACCCTACAGGCCACTTGAGTCATAAAGGCAAAAGCACGCCCGACCATGCCGAGAGCTGGCTGTCGCCACCCTAACCCAGTCATCAAACTTATCATCAGCAATAGCAGATGCTCAGATATGATTTGCCTCCTGGTGTGATGCAACAGAAGACACACGCGGCACCAGCTAGGAAACACTCCCGCCAAAAAGGTCAGCCTTCATTGAATCAGGCCTTTGGACTCACCCAGTTTGGGGAAAACACAGGGGATTTAAAAAAAAGAGTTGGCCGGGCACAATGGCTCACACCTGTAATCCCGGAACTTTGGGAGGCCGAGGTGGGTGGATCACCTGAGGTCAGGAGTTTGAGGCCAGCCTGACCGACATGGAGAAACTCCATCCCTACCAAAAATACAAAATTAGCCGGGCATGGTGACACATGCCTGTAATCCCAGCTACTGGGGAGGCTGAAAGAGGAGAACTGCTTGAACCCGGGAGGCAGAGGTTGCAGTGAGCTGAGATCGTGCCATTGCACTCCAGTTTGGGCAACAAGAGCGAAACTCCATCTCAAAAAAGAAAAACCAAAAGTGAATGACACCACGAGGAAATAATCAGAAGAATCCAGAACATGCGAGAGGGTTCCAATCCATGCCTCTTCAACAGCTTAATGTCATAAAAACAGAGCTGATGGCTCCAGGCTGAAGAGGACTTAATAGATGTAACAACCAAGGGACGTGCACAGCCTTTGATTAAATCCTGATTTGACAAAAACCGCGATCAAAGACAGTTTGAAGACAGGGAAATTCGAACACGGGCTATGCATTGGATGACACCAGGAAACTATTATTAATGTTATTAGATGATATTGTGGGTTCTGTTGAAGAGTATCTGTTTTTCAGAAATCCATGCTGAATTAATTATGGATAAGGTGTCACAGTTCAGCAAAAAGTATAGAGAGACAGATAGAACAAGTTGAGCAGAAATGTTAACAATTGTTGAATATAGTTGGTAAGTGTGTTCTTTTTACTTTTCTGTATCTTGGAATTTCTTCATAGTAATTTTTTTATTGAAGTAAAAGTCATTTAAAAACAATAAGTATGCAGTCAGGCACAGTGGCTCATGCCTGTAATCCAGCACTTTGGGAGGCCGAGGCAGGCAGATTACCTGAGATCAGGAGTTTGAGACCAGCCTGGCCAACATGGTGAAATCCCGTCTCTACTAAAAACGCAGAAATTAGCTGGGCATGGTGGCGGGCACCTCTAATCCCAGCTACTCGGGAGGCTAAGGCAGGAGAATCACTTGAACCCAGGAGGCAGAGTTTGCAGTGAGCCAAGATTGTGCCACTGCATTCCAGCCTGGGTGACAAGAGCAATACTCCATCTCAGCAACAACAACAAAAACCACCAAGTATTCTGTGACTTTAATATCCACCTGAACAATCACAGCAACAAGCTGTTGCTTGCCAATTCCAGTCTACTGGAAATGCTTCCTGGAAAGCTGTCTAAAGAAGAAAGGCAAAACCACATTCAGCCCCAGGTAGAAAAAGTTCTGTGATTGACTAATGCCTGCCACGAATATGGGTTTTGAAAGTGGTGTCTTGCATGCTACTTACTGGTCTTTCTTGCTCTAAATCATAGTCCTTCAGCTCTGCTTACTATGTGATCTTTTACAAAAGGGAAAGGAATCAAAAGAATTAGAAAATGAGCATTTTTTTTTTTCAGATTGAGCTAGAAGATAGGTGTGTAGTTTACCGGCTAGATTTCAACTATCACATGATAAGAATTCCGTATTCTGAAAACATATCTGTTTTTATAATTGGAGCTACTTCATTGTTCTGTCTTGCCTAGCTTTCTAATATGTCTCTTGAAAAGGTCCCACCTGTCTTAGCCAAGGAATGAGGACAAGGTTCTTCTTCCATGTGGGGGTGGACAGAAGGGAGCAGTGGCCAAGGTCTCCCAGCTGGAGAGGCCCACAGAAGCTGGCCAACGTGTGAGGCAACTCCCCCAACAGCAAAGAAGCAGGTCCGTGACCACCGTCCCCTTCCCCCGGGCCAGGCCTTGTCAGGGGGTCAGGAGGGAATCATCACTGAGCAAAGAACCAGTCAACAAGAGCCCAGAGGAGTCACACTCGCTACTGTGTTGCAACTGCTGCTACAAGCTTGTTCTAGGATGTTCTGACGGAGGGAGGACGCCCCACAATCCAGGCTACTGAACCACAGAGAGGGCTGGGACACCAGGCAGAAAGCCAGGGACCCACAGGATGGCCTGCCCTGTAAGCACATCCCCACTTGGGAGTTGGGGGGCTGACCCTCTTGCCCATAGCAGGACCAGACCCCCTTAGGGCCAGGCCTGAAGGCTTGGCCTTATAGACCTGTAGCGCCCCCAGGGCTCCAGCATGGAATCTGGGGAGCCTTGGGAGCAGAGAGCCTTCACTAAGCCAGCTCAGTGTTTATCTGGCGCAGGCAATGGTTTCCAGATGTTAGAGGGGCCGGGGGGCCCGGGAGCCTGCGATGTACTAGTGCTCATCTCTGTCACCGACGGGGAAGGAACAAGAAGTCTGGCACTGCTCCCACAGCCAGATGGCTGCTGCTCGGCGCTTTGTGGCAGATAAATCATCCCTGAGGCTCCTCCCAGAACACTTGACAGCCAGGGCGGCTGAGGAAGCAGGGAAGGAAAGCGGGGTGGGGAGGACAGATGGGTCCTCGAGCCACAGATGAGAACACAGAGGATGAGGCTGTGGGTCCCAGGCCCTGTGCCAGGAGGCTCACCATGAAGTGATGGAGAGAGCACCCTAGACTGGGGGTTTTGCCCCTTGCCAGCAGGGCACCCTGGGTACTCGCCCCAGCTTCTCCCTTTCAGAGAATCTTTTCCAGAGAGAGCTCCTACTCTTCAGGGGGCGTTGATGGCACTGAGAGGCATATTGTGGGCTTCACACTGAAGCACGGGGGGTGGGATGGCATTTAGCCATCATAAACTCTTACCAAGGGCTTCCCATGCACAGCTTCCTCTCACCCTCACTACCATCTCACCAGCCAGGGGCTCTCATTAACCCAACTGCACACAAGAAGAAAGATCAGCCCAGAGAGGCGGAGGATGACGCTGGAGGTCAGTCACACTGCAGGTACGTGGCAGAGCTGCGAGGTCTGAAGCCACGCATCTGCCACAAGGGCAGAGGGACTTGGGTGCAAGAGACCCCATCCATTTGCCAGCTATGTACCCTGGAGTCTAAGCCTTCACCGCCTGCCCCTGGGAGGGGTCCAGGATGAAGTTATCTCTGGGCCCCTGCTGACCTACTAATCAGAGCCACCTGGTCAGAAGCTCCCCCAGCCACTCTCCTTCACCCCCCTCTTCCGCCTGCCCTCACTGTCTCAGAAGGACACCATTCTCCTAGCAGATGTGCAGAACCTGGGTAATTCACCCTTTGTGCCTGCTGGTGCTGAACACGGGAAGACTCCCAGTCCCCAGAACCGGCCGTGCTGGAACCTGTGTTGTGAGTTGTGGGATGGGGGAAGCAGAGGAGAGCAAGGGGCCCAATGTCCTCCCGAAAAAAAAGACAGAGGGGCCTTCTCAGGCAGCTGCAGGACAGTCAGGTTTGCCCAGCTCTGCTTCCCCAACCCCACCACTGTCGGGGCTGGTGACAGTGAGCTGAGCTGTGTGTCTGCTGGGGAACTTGGGGGAGGTACAGCAGGTTCTGGGACCTGTCTAAGTCTTAATCAAAAATGCACACCAGTGGGGCAGGTTCAAGGCTGCCTGCCTCTGACATGGCCCCCTGTCTGAGGGTTGTAAAAGCTCCCAATTTCCCCTGCCAGGGAGAGATCCTCACCTTCCTTTAGTTACCCTGGAACCCCAAAGGGTGACCCAGGTATCAGTGAGGCCAACTTCACAACCAAAAAACCCAAAATGCTCCAAAGCGTAAGCCCTCGCTGTGACTGCTGGCCACCTCCACACCAGCACTCAGAGCTGCGCCCGGCACAACGCAGGAGCTCGGTAAACGGGGGAAGAGAGTGCGTGATGCCCCTCAGGCTGCATGGATGCGCTTGGAGAGGTAAACGGATTAACTACACACGCACAGTGTGGAGCCTTTTGCAACTTCTGGGGAGTTCTCCCAGCTGGAGGCCCCTTGGCTAGTGCGAAGGCCCCATTCATCTCTCCTGGGAGGGTGACCACAGCTCTGGCTGCCCAGCCACCTTCCCAGGCTTGCCAAATGTCTGGGAACATCTGGAAGGGGCTAGGTCCAAGGCATTAAGCTAAAGAATGACAGAGCTCTGTGTCTAGGAAGGAGAGGGATCCAGGCCCCTACCCAGAGGCAGCCAATTCTGGCCACTGGTGGTCCTACCCAGTCAGACACGTGTTGTCCGGCCAGACTCTCACAGCAGAAAGCTGGACCCACAGCTGGGAGTAGTGGCCTCGCCCAGGTTCCCAGCCTCACACCTGGGCGAGTGGCCCCCAGCAACCTGCTCAGTTGCCCTGTGTCTAATTTGTCTGACAGGAACCCACGTAATTGCCCAGATAGTTCTCCCCAAAAGCAAGAACCAAGCCATCCCTCCACTCTGAAATGCCTGCCACCCTCACTTGGGTGACTCGGTGACAGTGTAGGCTGACATGCCAAGAAATGAAGCCTAAAGTGTCGCAGAGAACCATAAACACCATCTGTCAACAGGGAGTGAAGGCACACTAATCTAAACACGGCCCTAGAGATAGCTTTCCACAGCTCATAAATATGTACACAGAAAACCTCCTCCCAGAGGCAACACAGCAGAACTGGCTGGAGGCCACGGCCAGCCTCAGACACCCTGCCTCTCTCTCCTTCCTCTTACCAGGGACTTGGGTACGAGGGACCCCTTCCGTTCGCCAGGTATTTACCCAGGACCTGCTCTGAGCTGGGAAACATGAAGTGCTGGGGAGGCTGTGGACATCGGGACTCACAACCCAGCCCCTGGAGACTTCATGGCCTAGTGACATTTAATAACTGCACAGTTATAAAGTTACAATTATGCAAAGCAGCACAGGGAGCTGGGAGGGGCATGGAAGGAGACTTAATCTTGAGAGGAAATCAAGGAGGGTCTCTGTGAGGAGGTGCTCTTAGCCAGAACTGGGAAGGTGAGGAGTCAGCGGAGAAGGAGCTGGAAGAACAGGTCACACCAGCAAAGGCCCCCGGCGGGCAGGAGTGTGGGACACCGGAGAGACAACAGACAACCAGCAGGGCAGCAAGTTTGGGCAAGGGGAGAACAGGGGGACTAGAAAGGCAGAGGGGCCAGATAAGGGGCTGGACATTCTCCAGGGGACAAGCGGGAGGGACGTGGTGGTGAGATGTGCCTGTGTGGGAGCCACAAGTGTAAGCTCAGGAAAGCCACTTGTGTAGGCTCAGTGGCGCTGCCACTTCCCAACTCGGACTTGGAATCAGCCAAGGTGGTAGTATTTACACCATGGAAATGGGCGTGCTTGTCCTTTCCAGAGGGAGGGTTGTTCATCATTTCCCAGCTGGCCCCTGGAAGGACCCAGTGCATCCCCGGGAGGGGATGGTATTGTGGGGTGGAGGGAAAGCAGGGACAACCCTGAACAGGGTGATACCAGGGGTCCCTGAGGGGAGGAAGGACACACCCCTGTCCAGGAGCAAGGCTAGGTGGCAGGTACCTCGGAAGCACTGGGCTCTGAGTGAACCCAGATCCCGGCACTGCAGGCCACACAGCAAGCCAGGCCCTCCCTGCCAAGTGCCCAGCACCACTGCCTGAACCTGAGAGCTCCTATGCTCCTCCACCCAACCCAGGATCCCTGACTCTGGGGAGAAGATGCCCCATACCCACACTTCCGCCACACTCTTCTAGGACACCTTGTCAGCCTGGACTGCCTGCTGAACCCAGGCCATCCCAAGGGGCTGCGTCAGGCCTCACCCTCTTTACCTGCAAAATTTTGCCCAGAAACATAGAAGCACCTGCCTTTGGGGTCGGTGGAAGTGTCTGGAGAGATAGGGTAGTGCCTGCTTCCCGTGTCTGTCACAGGCGTGCACCCAGAGCTGCTCAGCTAATTCCATATCCCTGCATCTGTGGGTGGCTGACTGCCATTCAACCTCCTGGAGCCACAGGGATGGCCAAGGTCCTCACCGTGCCCGAGTGACAGGCTCTGGGACGGTGCCCCTCCCAGTACTCACCTCTGTTACCTGTTGCTTGTCCAGGTGGAACACCTGCCCAGAGCTGGTGGCAGCGATCTCCTCGTAGGCCAGGTAGCCAGGATGGGTGCGGTCGCCACAGTCCCCGGTCAGCACAAAGACCACCTGGAAGATGGACAGGCAGCCTGCTCTCGACTTCCCTGGCCAGCTGCTTCAGGGATGAGCAGCAGAGCCCAACCGGGGTGGAGTGACCTGGAGTGAGCCCTTTCCTCTCTCTGGCACATGTATAGAATGACACATGACACATTAATAGAAGGGACAACAGAAGTGTCCATCTCATGGGGATCAGGAACTGACGCAGGGCAAGTGCTCAGCGCAGGGCCAGGAAAACTGTAGGTGCTCCATATTGGGAACTGTTACTAAATCAACAACAAAGAAGGGCGTGGAAGTCAACTCATCTCACAGTGGCCCCTGGAGGCTGCAGAGTTGAAGAACCTTGAAGAACCCAAGCCAGTTCTAGACGCAGAAGCAGAGAAGCAGTCCGGGCCCTCTGCATCTTGCCCAAGGATGGCCCTCCTCCCTTCCTCCAGCACGTCCCCTCTCCCAGCCCTCACTCCCAAAGCCAGAAGCAAGGGATCAGACACATCTTCCAAGCCCTGGGACAATGGCAAAGGGGACAGGATCGGCAGAGACCAGGAGCAGAGGTGACACCAGGAGGAAGACAGGTTGCTGGACTTTGATGGGGGTGAAAGGAGTAGGGTGGTGCAGGTCTTCATCTGCAACAACCTGCACCAGGGAAGTGTGAGCCCCGGCCAGGGCCTAGAGCGTGAGAGCACAGACCTCCTGGGCCGGCTTGGTTCCGAGGCTCTGGCCATGGATGGCAGAGGCAGACCCAAGGCTATGGAAGAGAAGTGCCCAGCTCTACCCTCCCGGTGGCAGCTCAGGACTGCTGCGTGAGAGACCCCACATTCCTCGGGACCCCCTGGGGGCCCCACTCGAGCCCCCACAGCCGGCTCACCCACCTGTGATTGTTTGAGCTGCAGGAGCCGCAGCAGCTCTTCCTTCTTGTGATAGTCTTTGGCGCGGGCGTCCGAGAAGACGTAGATGAAGGAGCCGGGGTTGGCGACCTCCACAGCCGCCTTAATGGCCCCCACACTCATCTCGGGGCAGTCACCACCTCCCTGGAGGGCAGGAGCATGTCAGCAGCTGCCACCTGCCTCCTCCAGATGGGACCCACGCAGGGACACCTCCAAAACCATTGGGCGTTGGGAGTCATCTTGAACTGTCACCTCCCGCCCACCCAGTCCCTTCCTTCCTGGGGACACAATATAACATCCAACCTGCTTTAACTGTAGACAAGCAGCATCATTCATTCATTCATTCATCCATGCAAGATTGACACGGGCCCACCCCCACGGAATCTGGCATGGAAGGGAGTCACTGCACCAATAAGGCCAGCACTGTGCTGAGTACTCTGAGTGGGCAAGGAGGGAGGGGCCACGGAAGCAGCTAACAGATGCCTCAGGAAGCTACACATTCGCCTAGGAAGAGGGTGAGGTGGAGGCTGGGCAAGAGACAAGCACTCGAAGCTTCCTCCCCAAACCCTCTCGGTGGGGCACAGGCTGGGAAGAGTAGGACGGAGGGTCAGGGGCTGGGTAGGGCTGCCCACCTGCACAAAGAGTTCTCTCAGCTCCCTCTGAAACACCGCGGGGTCTGCCGTGAGGGTCACTGGGCCAATATCTGTGGAGAAGAGAGAGGGAAGCCCGGTGGGCTGGTTTGTCAGTGACACAGGACGGATGCTCAGAGGAGCAGAGGCTGGCACATGAGACAGGGAGCGATCAGGGAGCAGCTCTCGGAGCTACAGGAGCAGACCAGAAAATGAGGTCAGACCACTCTGCCCCATGCCTGGCGCCAAAGCAGGGCCTGAGCTCCAGGGAAGCAGAGGTGAGGCGGAGGGCAAGCCCCAGCCTCTCCATCCGGACAGCAGCTCCCAACCTTTAGTGACCAAGGCTCCCCTAAGAGCCCCCGCCTCCACCATCCACCCGCTGCCACTCAGTGGGGAAGGAATTCCGGGAAGACAAACGAGGAGCAAACAAACAATCCATTCTGGGATACACAGCAACTCTCCAACACCAGCTGCTCAACAAGAGAAAACCTTCCAGCAACCCCATCTATGTATGAGCTCATTTTAAAAAGAGCAGCAATAAAAATGACAAAGATTGACTGCGCTCGAGGTTGGCAAGGACATGGAGCAACTGGAACTTTCATTCACTGCTGGTGGGAACGCACAATGGTTTAACCGCTTTGGAAGACAATGGAAGTTTCTAAAACATTACATAGGCACCTCCCATGGGATCCAGCCATTCCAAGCCTAGGTATGTCCCCAGGAGAAATGAAAACGTATGTTCACACAAAGGCTTGTACTCAAAGGTTCATGGCAGCTGGATTCATAATAGGCCAACACTGGACACAAGCCAGATGTCCATCATCCGGTGGAGAGATAGACACACAGGTAAAATCGCAGAACCAGGTGGGACTCAGCAGGAAGGCAGGACAACCACCGATACAAGCAACAACAGGGGCGCTTCTCACACGAGGGAAGCTAGATGCGAAACGGCACATACGGGATGGCTCCATTATAGGAAGTTCTGGAACAGTCAAAATCAATCTAAGGTGAGGAAAACCAGAACAGAGGTTGCCTGAGGAGCCTGACTTGGAAGGAAGCATCTGAGACAGAAACAGTCTATACATTGTGAAAGGAGTGTGAGTTCCTTGGTGTATCATTTGTCAAGAGTGCGCAGCTAAGATTGGAGCATTTCAATGTATGTAAATTTACCTCATAAGCAAAGCGCTAGAACAAATGATCGTCACTGAGTGGGGGTCGGGGGTGGGAGGAGGTACGGACGAGACGGGAATGATGGGGCTGTTGAATATTTGGTAATGCTGAGTGATGGGTACATGGAGGTTCATTATTCTCTTCTATTTATGTTGTATATATTTGAACAACTGTTCACTAATAAAAAGTATGTTTTTTTAAAAAAAAATAGTAATGGAGATCCATGCCAACACAAGACAACACTACCAGTGCTGGACGCCGAGCCGGGGCCTTGCAGATAAGCACACAGTGGGGATTGTGCAGGGTTGGTCGGACATCAAGTTCCTTAGAAAAATATCTGAGTGCTCAGTGAACTCTATGTATTTTCATTTTACTTTACTTTTTGAGACAGAGTTCCACTCTGTTGCCCAGGCTGGAATGTAGTGGCACAATCTCAACTCACTGCAACCTCCACCTCCTGGGTTCAAGCAATTCTCCTGCCTCAGCCTCCCAAGTAGCTGGGACCACAGGCATGTGCCACCACACCATCTAATTTTTGGATTTTTAGTAGAGACGGGGTTTCGCCATGTTGGCCAGGCTGACCAACTCCTGACCTCAAGTGGTCAGGCCCCTCTGATCCTCAGCCTCCCAAAGTGCTGGGATTACAGGCATTAGCCACTGTGCCCAGCCTTGGTGAGCTCTAATAACGAACTATTTTTAGTTCAGGAGTTCTAAATCTCAGTTGCCCTAAAGAAACTACCATTCTCGGCAACCAGTTGGTGGACCTCAGTATTTCCTTCTTAGAAAAGAAAGCCTGCGGAATCATCCGGCATTCCCCACCATGATCAAGGATGAGCCGCCACCAGCTTCCCCCGGGGCCCCTGCCCCTCGGCTCTGTGTTTATCCGTGGCATCCCACACTGCCCTTCCTCGCCTGCCCTGGCCATCCCCACACGTCCTTTCCTCTGAACTCCACAGTAACAAATTTAGCCCGACGCAGCAGCTCAGTCCTCAGCCTTGGAGCTCACCCAGATCTGACTGGAATCCTTCCTTTGTCCTTTTTGGGCTACGGGGCCTCTGGGGCAGAGCTCACTTCACTGCCCCAAGCCTCGGTTTCTTCATCTGTAGAATGAGACATGTAGCACCACCATTTCTCCTCACCAAGAATTATCACCGTGAGAATTCAGTGAAGCCAGGTAGCTAAACCCCTGGCTTGGCATGGGAAGGGCTCAGCCAATGGGAAGCGGCACTGCTGACGTGAGAGTGCGCTCGGCCAGGCTCCAGCGGGTGTGCTCATAGGTGCAAAGACAGTCCTGCTTTGATATGAGGTCCTAGAATTCTACTCTAAGAAGAGCAATCATTTCACTCAGTGCTGGTTATTTCATTGTTAGGTAATCATGTGTTCATTGTAAAAAGAAATTAACATGACATGAATGATAACGACAGTTGCTACTTAGTAAGTGCCAGGCCATGTGCTGAGATGCTTCCTGTGTATCAGCTCACTGAATTCTTCCTAGCACCCGGTAGGTCCAAAAGTCATTTTTTTTTTTTTGAAGTTTTTTGAGATGGAGTCTTGCTCTGTCACCAGGCTCGAGTGCAGTGGTATGATCTTGACTCACTGCAACCTCCACCTCCCAGGTTCAGGCGATTCTCCTGCCTTAGCCTCCCGAGTAGCTAATTTTACAGGCACCTGCCACCACATCCAGCTAATTTTTATATTTTTAGTAGAGATGGTGTTTCACCATGTTGGCCAAGCTGGTCTCAAACTCCTGACCTCAGGTGATCCACCTAACTTGGCCTCCCAAAGTGTTGGGATTAGAGGCGTGAGCCACTGTGCCTGGCCTTTCTTTCTTTCTTTCTTTCTTTCTTTCTTTCTTTCTTTCTTTCTTTCTTTATTTATTTTTGAGACTGAGTCTCACTCCATCACCCAGGCTGGAGTACAGTGGCATGATCTTGGCTCACTGCAACCTCCACTTCCCAGGCTCAAGCGATTCTCGTGCCTCAGTCTCCCAAGTAGCTGGGATTACAGAGATGTACCACCATGCCTGGCTAATTTTTTTGTATTTTTAGTAGAGACAAGGTTTCGCCATGTTGGCTAGACTGGACTCAAATTCCTGGCCTCATGTGATCCCCCCGCCTCAGCCTCCCAAAGTGCTGGGGTCTGAGTGTTACCCACATTTTTACAGAGGAGAACATGGAAGCCCAGAGACAGTGACTTGTCCAATAAGCAGCAGTACTGGGATGAGCCCAGGTCTGGGCAACCTCAAGAACAGAGCTCTTCTTAACTATTGTTCTTAGGGAACTAGACATAGAAATTCCTGGCAGGCAAAATAAAACGAAACAAAAAAGGGAAGAAGCACAATTGCCTGTATTTTTTTTTGAGATGGTGTCTCACTCTGTCACCAGGTTGGATTGCAGTGGTGTGATCTCGGCTCACTGCAACCTCTACCTCCTGAGTCCAAGCCATTTTTCTGCCTCTGCCTCCCAAGTAGCTGGGATTATAGGTGCATGCAACCACACCCAACTAAGTTTTATATTTTTAGTTGAGAAGAGGTTTCACCATGTTGGCCAGGAGGGTCTCAATCTCCTAACCTCATGATCCACCCGCCTCGGCCTCCCAAAGTGCTGGGATTACAGGCGTGAGCCATCGTGCCCGGCAAACTGCCTGTATTTCTACCAACCAGAGATAATCATTTCCATTTTGTATATAATCTTCAAATTTTATATTCATATATTTAAATGTATAAATACATCTTACAAAAATGCATGCTATTTTTAAGCAGAATTTTTATCGAAGTATAAATAACATACTATTTCTAACCCAATTCTTTTCACTGAACAAATGTGAGCAAATTTCCAGAAGGTTACTCAAACATCATTTTAATAACTACAAAGTATTTCCTTTGCACAAATGCTAATAACAGCCTTGTCCAATCCCATATTGTTTTGGTACCAATTTTTATAATGAACAATGTTATTAAAAACATCTTCGAGGCAGGCACAGTGGCTCACACCTGTAATCCCTGCACTTTGGGAGGCTGAGGCGGGGGCGGGGGGGGAGGTGGGGATCACCTGAGGTCAGGAGTTCGAGACCAGGCTGGCCGACATAGCAAAACCCCATCTCTACTAAAAATACAAAAATTAGCCAGGCATAGGGGCAGGCACCTGTAGTCCCAGGTACTCAGGAGGCTGAGGCAGGAGAATCAATTGAACCCAGGAGTTGGAGGTTGCAGTGAGCCAAGATCGTGCCACTGCACTCCAGCCTGGGCGACACAGTCAAAATCCGTCTCAAAAAAAAAAAAAAGAACATCTTCTCATCCATAGCTCAATTGCTTTCTCAGGATACATTGCCATAAGTAGAATTGCTGGGTCAATGGCAACAGCATCTGTAAAAACTTTGGATGCAAAATCAGTAACCTTGTAACTCCTCCCCACTCCCTGATGTCCCACCTCCGATCCTCCCAACCTGCACATGCTGGAGGAACCCACGTCTCCCCTGCTCAAAAATCCCCAGTGACCACCCATTGCCTGCAAGCCACACAAAGCTGCCAGCACAGAGCCCCATTCTGAATCTGGCCCCCTCTAGCCTCCCATCAGAGTCTGTCATCACCACCTAACTCTGTGGCTCCCAATGTCAGGTCACTGCTAGACGGACACAGGCCCCGTTTGAAGCAACATGGAAAAAATGAAGCCGGTAAGGTGAGTCCTCAGAAAGCAAGTGCAGTCCGGTTGGGAGAGCTGCCCTTTACCATGGTCCAGGCACGTCCTGCCTGGAGGGAGAGGGGATTATTCTTTCTTTCATGAAAGGCTCATAATAATACAAGGGAGTTGATGTTTTTTTCAGTTTTACTTTGGTAAGTAGAATGTTTGCCACCTATGTTATGTTTATTGTTTTTTCTTTTAAGCTCTTTTTTTTAGGCAGTTTT